ACTCACTAGCAGTGGTCCAGCGTGTCTTGCAATACATTTTTATCCCTCCTCCATTAATTTTGTTTTCTTTAATTAGTCAAATAAGCACAGCACCAGCTTGATGAGAACTTTTAAAAAAAGTGGCTAAATTGTTAACCCGTCATAATAAGCGATCACCAAAGTTCTCCTTGACAATGTCACATGCAATCAAGTTGATAGCATGTGCTATACAATGAACATTCTCTATATTTGGATATTTCGTTTGAATAATTGCATGCGCATTTCGAACATTTGAGGCATTGTCTGAAACTATGGCTGATATTCAATTCACTCCAATACTTTCAATAATTTCTTCAATTACCACAGCTAAGTATTCTGCAGTGTGAGAAACTTCTGACAAGTCAAGAAGTTGATAAAGATATTCTTTTCGTGAGGGAGTCATAATAACAAAATTCCAAATTGAGCAATGTGTACCAGAGGTCCAGCCATCAAAGGCTAAATTATATCAACATTAATATAATTAAAAAATCTACAACAGTTTGATTTTAAAAAAAATTATATTAATTTTTTAACAAACCTAATGTTAGATTGGTTTCCTTCTCAATTTCAGATTTTAACCTTGGAGTTTACTTGAGATAACTCACGTTCAAGTAATTGACCTGATAAAATTTCTCTTGATGGTGGTTCATACCCAGCATTGAGCTCTTTCACAAAATTGATAAAAAAAGGATGTTCCACTATTCGAAATGATATACCACATGTAATAAAAAATTTAGCTAGAGCATGGTTAATATTGGTAATTCTGGCATTTGGAAGTTCTATAGAATCGTGATAATTTGTAATAATGGTTTATTGGCTATTTTCAACTTTCTTTTTCTTAATTGGTGCTTTATCCTTACGTTCTAACACTTTGGACAGATATTTTCTTACAATTGTTGTGGGGGCTTTTGAACAATGGTTGGCAAGATGTTCCTCAAGTTTTGCAACTTCGCCACATGTCCATTTACTTGTACAGTATTTACAAGAGGCATTAAATTTTCCAAAGCCAACAGAATCTCCTTTATTAACATCTTCCCAAATAGAATTAATTGGCCTTCCATGTTTTTTTTTTCTTTTTCTTGGCTAGAAACAGGCGAGTCCTCTGGATTTAAAGAGTCATTTAAAAAGTCAGAATTAAGAGGAGTGTTCATATTAATATTGAAATTTGCATAAGCTTTTGTGTATGCTTTTTTTAGTGAGAATTTAAAATGACGTGATGGTGTTTGAAAAAAAAAATAAATGGGAATTAATTATCTGTAACACATTTTTGTTAAACCTTAATTAGGTTTGATTTTATTATATAGATTTTGAAGATTCAACACATTGAAATTAATATGAAAAAATTCATAAATTAAAGATTGACAAAGTTGAAAGTTGGATAAAAATCTTTAAAATTAAATAAAGTTTAAAGTGAAGAAGTAAAGGTCAAAGTATGTAAACATAATTCAAATAAAGATCAATATCGATAATAATAAAGATTGATAACAATAAAGATTATCGTGAGTTATCACGATATGATTGGTTGTGGTGGCTTAGATTTGTTACACCATAAAAAAGTTTAATTATCATATTTGAATTAGTTAAAATTTTAAGTGTTATGCAGGTTATGAATAAAATTTTAGGGTTTTATTTGAATAAATGAATTATTATTATTCGAATGAAAATGAATTATTATTATTTGAATGAAAACGAATTATTCAAATGAAAATGAATTATTCAAATGAAAACAAATTATTCAAATGAAAATGAATTATTATTATTTGAATGAAAGCGAATTATTCAAATGAAAATGAATTATTCAAATGAAAATGAATTATTATTATTCGAATGAAAATGAATTATTCAAATGAAAATGAATTATTATTATTCGAATGAAAACGAATTATTATTATTCAAATGAAAATGAATTATTATTATTCGAATGAAAACGAATTATTATTATTCAAATGAAAATGAATTATTATTATTTGAATGAAAGCAAATTACTATTATTTGAATGAAAACGAATTATTATTATTCAAATGAAAATGAATTATTATTATTTGAATGAAAGCAAATTACTATTATTTGAATGAAAACGAATTATTATTATTTGAATGAAAACAAATTACTATTATTTGAATGAAAACAAATTATTATTATTCGAATGAAAACGAATTATTCAAATGAAAATGAATTATTTTATTATTCAAATGAAAACGAATTATTTGAATGAAAACGAATTATTATTATTCAAATGAAAACGAATTATTATTATTCAAATGAAAATGAATTATTATTATTTGAATTACTATTATTTGAATGAAAACAAATTATTATTATTTGAATGAAAACAAATTACTATTATTTGAATGAAAACAAATTATTATTATTCGAATGAAAACAAATTATTTGAATGAAAACAAATTATCATTATTCGAATGAAACTGAATTATTTGAATGAAAACGAATTATTATTATTTGAATGAAAACAAATTATCATTATTTGAATGAAAACAAATTATTCAAATTAGTATATATTAGTATTAGTATTAGGTTGTATTACTATTATGAATAATTTGAATAAGAATTTATGTTACGAATAATAATCAATTAAAATAATCAGCGAAACTATATTAAAATCTTACTAGCAATTATACCAAAAGTCAGCTATAGGCACTTTTGGCACTTTCAGCATTTTTGGCATTTTTGGCACTTTTGGCACTTTTGGCATTTCAGAACAATTTGCCAAAACTATTTCAGCAGTTTCTCATACACCATTCTGCCAAAACTCCCTAGTTTCAGCAAGCAACCTTATGTTAAAGTAAGGAAAACTAAATGAACAGTCTTCAAGTTAACCTTAATAGCTATTGATTTATAAAAAAAATTAGAATTTTATAAGACAAGGTTGTACTAATAATATTTGATTTATAAAAAAAATTAGAATTTTATAAGACAAGGTTGTACTAATAATATTTTATTTTTATATTATATATATATATATGTATGTATGTATGTATGTATAGTAATAAATAGAAACAAGACTACCTTGTCATGAACCATTACTAGCTTTTAACATCAATTACAAACTCTTTACATGAGCAAACAATTTAATAAGAAACATTTTTTTGGAATGGTGATACATTCAAGTAGTTATTCTCCATTATTTTACATTTTATAATATATTATTAATTTTTTAATTCACAATTTATCCAACAATAAAATTAGATTGGTAATTTATGGTTGAAGGTTGAGAATGCCACCACTCACTTGTTGGCTTTCATTCATTAATTCATTCGCCTAAGCTC